TGGTCTACATAGTGAGTTCCAGGACAGCTGGAGCTACAGGGAGACGCTGTCTCAAAAAGACCAAAAAAAGAAAAGAAAAAAGCAAAACCCTTTGAGAAAAGATCCATAGCACACACCCCAGGCTTGGAGATGCAGAATGTATTTTAGCTATTTATTTATTTATTTATTTATTTATTTATTGATTTATTTATTTATTTATTATTTGTTTATTTATGATTTATTTATTTATTTATTATTTGTTTATTTATGATTTATTTATTTATTATTTTTGGTCCTTTTGAGGCAGGGTCTCCCTATAGCCTCAGCTGGTCTAGAACTGACTATGTAGACCAGACTGCCCTTGGACTCACAGAGATCCGCCTGCCTCTGCCACAGTGCTGGGATTAAAGGCGAGCGCCACCACGCCCGGCTGATTTATTATTTTTAGTTTATGTGTATGAGTGTATTGCGTGCAGGCATGTAAGTGCACCTGTGTCGGGCAGTGCCCGTGGAGGTCAGAAGAGGGTGTCAGAGCCCCTGGAACTTGGGTTACAGATGGTGCTAGGTGAGTCCACCATGTGGGTGCTGGGAGTTGAACCCGGGTCCTCTGCAAGAGCGGTCAGTGCTCTTGACCCCTGAGCCATATGTCCTTTTCCCGTTTTGCTTTTTACAATGCCTTGTTTGCAGAATCGTTGTATTAAAAAGATATCTCTGCACTTCACCTGTTGGGTCTGTGAGGATCGAGTCTGTGGACCTTTGTAAAATCTAGCAAGAATAAATATTTTGTTTTACTATTGCATAGACCTGTTCTTCGACAATTTCACACATACATACAATGCATTCTAATGACCCGGACTTTTGCCTGTGTGATGTGTGTGCAGTTTGTCCTCCACTAGCATTTTGGGTGGTTCCGCTGACATCTAGTGGTTGGATTTTCACACTGTGGGCTCAACTTAAACTGTCAAGCATCCCTGCACCACACAAACTCCTTCAACTCCTAGTATCACCAGCCACAAAGTGCAGCAAGTTTCTTTGTCTTATTCTGTGGTTCTGGAAAACCATTTGAGGGAATATTCTTAAAAGAAGAACTCGCTGGGGCTCAAAGCTTTCAAGTTTTCGGTGGTCGCTGGGTTCCGTTAGTGAAGAAACGACTTCTGAATTACAGAGAATTCCAGACTTTTATTTAACCATTCATTGAAAACTACTGGCTATACGGTAAACAAGGTCTCTGAGCCCCGTGCTGCTCTTGTGACCTGAGCACCTCACTTTGACCCCTCAGGATCCCACTGTGCCGTCCACCCAAGACACTGAATGAGGGTGGATGTGTTTGAATTAGCATCTCAGCGGGCCGGAAGCGTCTCATATTAAAGACAGTGAGAGTAAGTGGCTATGTGTAGGACATACTTTCTTTTTCGCTTAAAACTGATATATTAAACTTATATGTGTAGGAGATATTTTAGGCCTGGGGATGAAAGGTCAACATTGTGAGATAAGGGTGGATCTAAGCTTTTGTTTCCACAGCTGACGTGCAGAGGTGGCTCTGGGGGGACAAAAAAGACATGCAGAGAGATCTCTTTAAAGAATTGCTGATTTAATTAGTAAAGGCACCAGTCAGACCCTGTCAGGCAGTGGAGGAGGACGGCCATGCCATCGTCTGGGTATCTGAATTTACCGTGAAGTCTACTTCAAGAGGACAATGCTGATGCATACATGGTTTACCGTGTCTGCGTGGATTTCATTATTTTTTGTAAACACTGATGTTGGACTTAAAATGCCAGCGTCCCTTCTCTAATTGAACCTTTCCTCCACATTTTCTGTATGTGTTTCTCTGTGTATTATCCTGTATTGTCAGACAAAATCGCTCATGGAGATTCACCAGGAAGTTAGATATTGCCCTGTATTCTTTCGCATAATTATTCATTTAAATAAACTACATTTGCATAATGAAGGGAAATCAGCGTGACAGATAAATGACTGAATGAACTGAGCATCTGTCGACCCTGGCTCCCCACTTCATGAGGGAGACACATCCACCTCAGCTCACGGCGTCCGTGGCCTAGACATCTGGTTCCTTATCAAAGGACATCTGGTTCCTTATCGTCCTTGAAGATCCTTGAAGACAACCTGCTTCTCCT